ATTGCTTTGCAGGTTGTTAAAAAAACTCATTTACTGCCGTTTTCAATATTCATGCATTATTTAAGTGGTTTTTTTTAATTAAAACCTGTTGAAAACAATTAAAATAAAACGAATTATGACGAATCGCGAGAGGAAATAAAAATATATATTTGAAATTGATTTATTTTCAATATTTCGACCTACCAAACTGAATTTTGGGGCAAATATCCGTAAACCTAAGTTTGTTTAAAAGTCTGACCATAGTGTCACAACATGAATTTAATCTCGAAGGATTATTAATGATCGCTTAGCCCTTTTATCGTTGCAAGGTCAATAACCAAACATGTTCAATGTACCCATTCAGCAGTTCAGATTTTGTGTTTTAATCGAAATACAATTATTCTGGAAAATAAGAACAATATGAGAACAGAGATTGGCGCCCTGCTCATGGGAAGTGACAAGCAATTAACTCGGGTCCGAGGGATGAAGGTTCCTATAAATGACACACCTGAGAATACAGGTCACAGTCCATTGAGACAACTGAATGATAAACATCCATCTCAGATCCAGTGATTGAGCAAATCCATATCAATATTTATGCTTCATCATTGATAACGATCAACTGATGGGCAATGATTATGACGTCCGACAATTTAAGAGGCTGACAAGATGGTCACGTGAGAATCATCAGCGCAAGCTACATTCCTGAGAACTAGAAAATACGGAGGAATCAATTAGTGTCCATAAACGAAAGTCGGATCTCGAGGGCACGTCGTGTGTGTAAGGACTCTGACAATATACTCAACTAACCACACAACGGTCAATAATCCATGGTGATGCGCTAAAGAAAGATAAGTGGAGGTATTTAGAGGAGGTCACGTTAATCCCTGCACATCCAACACATTATACTGATAACTTATCTTATCATCAAAGAATTAATGTCTATTATAATAACGGTTATTAAATAACAAAGTACATCGATTGTCTGTAATTACCTACCTATTATCTACATCATTGGATTCATTTTGACGTTGGGAAACAATATATCTTCCCTACTTCCAAGGTTACACCTACTCTGGCTTTAAGCTCAAAGATAGTTTTGTGGGAAATTTCAATGGATATACACCTGTTGCCTCGATTTTCTTTATGCTTATGTTTCTATGGATACTTGATAACCATTATTAATCAAACTAGAAAAACAGCAATTGAGAAATAAATGCCAATTACAAAAGTTATTTCGCGAGTAGATCTCAGTGAGATGGTGTTTCGCGGCTTTTAGGGGACGGCCGGGTAGCCTAGTGGTTAAAGCGTTCGCTCGTCACGCCGAAGACCCGGGTTCGGTTCCCGACATGGGTACAATGTGTGAAGCCCATTTCTGGTGTCCCCCGCCGTGATATAGCTGGGATATTGCTAAAAGCGGCGTAAAACCATACTTACTGACTCACAATATTTCGGCAATGTCACGGCAGTGAACAGGAAGGGCTTCACGCATTATACTCACATTGGAATCAAACTCGAGGTTTCGGTATGGCGAGCCAACGCTTTAACCACTAACACTACCCTGAGTGGTGTCAGTGAGTGAGTTTGATTTAACGCCGCTTTTAACAGTATTCCAGTTATATCACGGAGTGTCAGCTTAATGTGGGAGGAAAGCCCGAAGTGATGCAGGTCTCAGACGTTTATCACTTCGGTGAAATTCACGAGCACGGGTATGGTGCCGACAAACCTAGAAACATAATCGGGGCAAACGGAATTCAAACCCACAATCATAGATTTCTGGCGTGCCCAAGGGACGCAACTCTGCACAGCGAATCGCGGCGCCTTAGACGACTGGGTCACCCGTGTCCCCTGATTGGTGTTAGATCAAAGGTTTGCGTTACGTATGGAAATAAAGACGATTGCCTTTAACAAACACTAACATGGACCGACTGCTTATGTTACCACGTAATCAGACACAGTGGTACCAAAAGGGACATGGTGGGCAAGGCCGTAATTGCAGTTGCCTCCCTTTAACTGTGCAAGGATCTGAGGTTCGAATACCAAATTATATTTCTATAACGGTAGACGTTCCTCTTCATGGTTACACTATATCCATAGAAACTGTGTTGTAACTGAATTTTCTAAATTTAATTTTGAGTGTAACTTAAAGAGAGATAGAAACGCTCACCCTAAGGATTAATAAAGGCACAAGAAGAAAGGGTCACGTGACGTTACATGTGACATACGGAACAAAATGGCGTCTCACGGAATGGACATTGGAAACGTGAACAACGTTATGCCTGGAATACGACAGGGGGTGTCATATTACCACAAACTACCCAGGGCGTCATGGTGACGTCGATGACGTCCATGTTATTGTTCTATACAAAGAGATTTAACGGGGGCATGCGTAATCAAATTTAACAAAGACGACGGATGATGTTGCCATGAAATACTGTGAACTGTAAACTCACTGAATATCATGGCAGCTCAGTAGCGTTGTCTTAAGGGTTACCTGCCATCGAACGATAATTATATAACTTAAGGTAATTAATAAATAATGAGCGTGAGTAATGGTAGAGTCGTTCAGAAGAAATAGATAACAGGACGAATATAATGGGGCGATTATGTGGCGTGATCCCTAATTGAGACTTGATAATATCTGTAACTGAGACATGGTAATTGAATGGGTATTCGTCACTCCAGATTACATAAACAGGGATCTAATTAATCTGCAATATTAGTTTTATGTGACGAGAACACTTGATTCGAATTGGCAGTCACGTGATTGGTGGTTTCTTTGTCTAGGAAAAAGATATTCATGGATAAACAGTGAAACCTCATTAACTCGAACTGCTTTAACTCGATACTTCGTTTAAGACGATGTAACAAGGCCCTGGAAGAATCCTATCTGAGAGTAAGATATCAGCAATCGCTTGTCCCGAACTTCGGATAAGCCGACATATATTTTCAATGTTATGAAGCATTTCGAGTTAGTGAGCTTTAACTGTGCATAAATACCGTTGTATGACTTTCAAACATGTATTATTCTCGAGCATATGACAAACAATTCCGTATCAATCTCCACCAATGTTCTATTTTCAGTAGACCAGCTTTCTAGGTCAATTTCTTTTCGGAAAGATCTCAAATTTCATGTCTGATGTAACATCGACCAGTACATGACATTCATCTATCTCATCGTAGTGAATGATTATAGTATTTATTTTTGAATATAGCCAATGCTTATTTAACTTAGCTGTGCACCACAGGTAATTAATGCATAATTAAGATTCAATAGTCTGTTTTAAAATTACAATTCCCGTTACTAATTATCAGACCAGGAGGTTAAAGGTTGTAAAAGTAAACAAAAATAGAGAGGTAGATAGACAGAAGGAATAAAACACACATTAAGAATATAACTATGTTTCACAAGACCAACTAATTGTACTTACCATGAACACAATAACAAAGAACGGTGTGTTTGTTTAAACAATATATTCATTTATAAATTTAAACAGAGTAACAAACGTGAAGCCAAAAATATTTCTGTTATCAAAATAGACTCAAACATAAATTTGGTATAACTATAATATAAACATAACATTATTCTATATGATACCGAATCAAGTGTTCTCGGGGTAAGGGTCGTGTTTTACAGTATTCATGGGAAGTGTACACTGTATACATGACTATAAGAACAGTTTCTCCTGCATGCTAATACCTTAAGCTTTGTGCTTTTGAAACAGAGATAATATTCAAATTGACTACTCGATCAGTGATTGGTTAGTTCATAGATTTCTGGCACGGTGATTGGTCAGTTCACGAAGACTTCGAAAACATCTGGTGATTGGCAAAGAGTTACATACTAACGAAATGTTCACGGATATAATTCTGTCAATTGGTGGACAGTGGTCAGAAATGTCGGACGGCTGGACAATTCAGATGATTTATGATACAGGGATGACATGCACACAGTCAGATGAAGATAAACGATAGTCAATCTGAACACATACTACTCGATAAAATGTGTGTTTCACATGATTGTTCAGACACACTAATGTTACTATTAATACTGCATGTTTATTGGATACGATTCACGCGACACAATAACCACCAAGTAGTCATACAATCACCTTGATGAGTTCACCCTTTCTAAAATGGATACTCCCCGAAATGTTCGTCTCCAGTCGTACATTGTAATTAGTGCTCTATGAGGAATTGACACGTTGTCTCCGTGTAATTAGTCTAATCAGCAACTGCTAGATTGATATAGGCACTAAAGTTAAAGTTAGCAGTGGGTTTTGAATGACTGGAATCCAAATTGCCAGGACTGCCAATTGGCTTGAGCGTAGTGTCCCTTTAAATCACATTTACCGTTCACTATTAAATACCAATCTGTTTATGAGATGCAGCGAGCATGCAAGAACAGCTGTAGCATTTCCTAACACCGTAATGACCTAACTGTTTACTATAAATAACCCTGGAAAAATGATAAACAGTTAATGCGTGCATAGGGCACCTATAATGAAGCAACGCGGAGTCTAACTTATCATGCCCTCGACACTTACACGCGTAATGACATCGCTATTTGTCGACTTTTATAAATTGAGGACTTCACCTACAAGCACGCCATGCCTCATAGAAATCATCACGTCAGCCAATTGCTCGGATAAAATAAATATTGCAACCTGTACCGATGTTGATGCTACCATGGAACTAAATAAACTTCGCCCTTTTGGGTGGACTATAAATAGATGTTAAGCAAAAGTGAGTGAGTTTGGTTTAACGCCGCTTTGAACATTATTCCAGTTATATCACGGAGTGTCAGCTTAATGTGGGAGGAAAGCCCGAAGTGATACAGGTCTCAGACGTTTACCACTTCGGTGAAACCCTAAAGTACGGGTGTGGTGCTGACAAACCTAGAAACATAATCGGGGCGAACCGGGATTCGAACCCACGATCACTGGCGTGCCCATGGGACGCTACGCTGCACAGCAAATTACGGCGCCTTAGCCGACTGGACCGACCGTCACCTACCCCCCCCCCCCCCCCCCCCCCCCCCCTCCCTTTCGATTTTAATCTTGGATTCGATCTCGAGACCAGCGGATCCATGTGCGACTAAGGGACGTAACTTTGCACAGCCTAAATTCGAACTGACTTTTTATCAATACGCTTTAGACAGAGCTACATAATACAGTACTGTTTGGAGATACTGTTGGTTATGAAATACTCATTGACATCTTTATTAGTAATGCACTTGCAAGATCGCTGCGTTTACCAATATGTAAATATGTATGCACGCTGATTCTTCTCGAATAAAACGTGTTTTCGTTAATACCTACATCGTGACACGAATACCAGAAGAAATATCACTTGATACGAGACAGCTACTGCTATAATGCTATCTTCCTTGTGTTCATTGAAACGTGAAGATTTAACTATACATAATTTCGACAACAACCTGGAGAGTACTAGGTCGCGAGATCATATTTTCCTGGAGACGAAATAATGGTTATTGCTGTTCTCCGTGTCCTCAACAGGCTTCTGTCACTCTGTCACCTTGGTAGTAAGGTCAGATTACTCATTTCAAGGGAGGCTACAATATTAATCAATGCACCTGGTATGGTCGATAACCATCTTACACCACACGTGGTCGTCCAATACGGCCCTCAACATGTCATGGTGAATGCCACCGACAGTATTCCTCTTGATATACACGCAAACTACCTTGCCCTATTTGTGAACACCTAATGACTTTGACAATATGATGCACACGAACCGATATTGTCCAACCGTCCGCGAAGTAACACACATTCTCAGCAATGTCAGTAGTTCAACACAATGTAAGACAATGTTCTAACATATACATCGTTAGTTCGTTCAGCTTACATAATACATTGTATTGCAAACACGTGGCACAGGGGTCGTCGCTTAGGACAGAGACCACTGAAGTGGGCAGCAGTACATGACTCACTGGAAGATCTGGGGAGGGAGGGGTGGGGACCTGGGTGGGGCTGCCTGCCGGTCGGGATGGAAGAAGTGGATCATTCTTACGGGAATAACCAGCAACAACACCTGTGTATATATATGTACAACTGAAATTGCAGTTTCACATTTTCAAACGATCTGCAATTTGCAAATTTTTAACTAAACCTTCAAAGAAAAATTTCGAATTTCAAATGAACTTCCAATCTACAAATTAGCGACTGCTCTTCTGTGTATTGTAACTGCGGCCATGCAGACCCAAATTTTAATTTTCGGCAGTCACTTCCGGAACGCCATGAATAATTAATGTTCTGTGAAGATGACAAGATATGCACCACGTGTTGTTGTTTATCATCCCCCTAGAAAGCACAAACATTTTAAAACCAATCTACTAGGCGTGGTTTGACATAGCCGTGCCACAATTTACTGCACGTTCTTTGAACGCCTGTTGCAACACGCCGGTACCGTTGTCTATGCACATTACCTTAAGCAACAATCACCGTGGAAGCCAGTCTACCCCGCTTTGCACCTTGTCGGTAGATATGATGGCTTATCAATTGAGGTCACGTGGTGCGCACGCCCACCTGTCTTGTACGACTGATGAATAAACATGTTTAATGTCGACGTACGTAAAACCCCGGAAAGATGCCAAAATCCAGATATTGGAAAACGCCATTTTTACGTTTCTATTATTATCGCGTAATTCCTACCATTAATTTCAATACTCTCTGATTCCTTAAGTTTTCTTTAATCATAAATTTCAAATACGCGTCCAACCTCAACAACGGTCTACCATGGGGATCATCGATCTTATATATGGATATCGAATCAATAAATATACAATGAATATAGTAACGGTGTACATGTTTCGCTACCGTGTTTCCAATGTTAGCCGTCATTGACATGGGCGTATTCAAGGTAAATTTGTTACCGATACCGAAACAAACAGCTGGTGGGTTTAAGTGTAATGGGATGAGGTATTATCTGCTTCATAGAATAACACATGTTTCTGTCTATGATAGTACTGCGGGAGGATGCACGATCGGTGAAATCACCATTGTTTATGTCTAAACACGCATTCCATCCACCCCCATCCCGCATCTTTGCGTCTAATTCTGATCGTAGGATTTGCTTCCGAGGGCTTTACACCATACGAACCAAGTTTGCACCATGTATACTTGGCAAGGTGCCAACTTATGCGACCTATGAAGATGCACCTGAACGACGACGCGATACGGGCATGTTACAACAGCACGTCAACATGAGCATTGCAAGGACAATTGTTACAAAGCATTGCACAGAAGTTTCTAAACACAGCTTACTGTTTGAGACTAAGAGCAATTATACAGGCCAGGCAGATCGGCAGACGACACCGCAGTTTGGCGGGAAATAATGGGGGACCTACCCAGTGTGAAAGACCGAGCAGCTATGTCATTCTAGTTCGTGTTTTAAGTGTCTTCAGTATTTCTGATCCCGGGAAGTAGGCGTGGCACACTGCCCAACGTATTACAGCCACGGTCGGGAACGCTCTCGCGCTCAGTGGTGCGTGGAGGTCCACAGTACCACGTCTTGTTTCTATTGACAACGGATATCTCCTCCAAAGCAGGAACAATACAACAACATAACTTCATTTTTACAAGGATTTGGAATCCTTCAATTTGGCAAGTGAGACGAAGAGTAACCACAGTGACGACGACGTGTTATGGAAGTGGCATCCGATCAATGTTATTCCATCCATTTGTAGTTTCAGCAGCCGTTGAGATCAGCCATTTAAAGTAATTCACAAATCACATTTGCTTGTTGATTCTCACTCTCTACCTGTACAGCCACGTGACGTCAGCTAGCGCTGAACATCACGTCACGTGATATCATATATCACATTTGCACGTGCAAACCACGTGGCGTTTAGGAAAATCCAATAACACAATATCACTGCATTACTATATCTTAGACTCCCCTTGGCTATTAGGCGATCCGTTCCCAATCTGAACCAAGGTTTGACCGTGGCTATTGTAACGCACCATTGTCTCCGCTGGGGGTCTGAGACTGTCTTTCACAGCATGGTCGGCACCGTACTGCTCCACATAACTCTCGGAACGCATTCGAACGTTAATTCCACGACATCTACAACACAGTATTTCCTTAAAGGGAGTCCTAAATTCACGGTTGAATCGAGCATATATAACAGGATTCAAGAAGGAATTCGCGTAACCCAACCACATAAGTACTGAGACGATCCATCCTGGGATCTTGTCGAATTGTGGTCCATATACTTTGACACAAACGGCTTGCACAACAGCAAGTATGAAGAAGGGGAGCCAACATGCAGTAAAACAACCCATTATAATACCCAGTGTTTTGGTAGCTTTACGCTCCTTCGAAGTCGACATACGTTGTTTTGATGGTATTATTGACTTGATTGTGAATCGACGACGCTTAATGGAGTTCTTCTTTAAAAGGTTTTCTTTTGTGGTGTCATCCTCTGACGACAGTAAGTTCGAATCTTTGATTGAGCCATTGGGTAAAATGTGGCTGTCACCACTGTCCCTCGATGGCCGGCCCACTTGAAACTCGGGTGGCCGGTCTATGTTGCCAATCTGTGACCTTTGCTCTGCCTTGGCGATCCGAGATGACACTCGCCAGATTTTATAATATACAACTATCATCACAGTTAGAGGCAAGTAGAAGGCACCCAGAGTTGCATAGATCTGATACCCTAGTTCGTTACTAATATAACATTCATAAGGACCCCTGAGGGCTTTCCAGCCGAAAATTGGGGGAATAGATATCAGAGCTGATGCCACCCACACAACAGCTATCATAATCCCCATACGTTTTGGCGTCCGTTTCATGGCATACTGTAGTGGTCTGGTGATGACGAAATACCGATCCACACTGATCATGCAGAGATTAAGTATAGATGCAGTACATAGTAACACATCTAGGGAAGTCCACATGTCACAGACAGATTCTCCAAGACGCCATTTGGTTCGAATCTCTTTGTAGAGCGAGAGGGGCATGACGAGGATTGCTACCAAAAGGTCTGCGGTCGCCAGGGACACAATGAGCAGGTTTGAGGGTGTTTGTAGACGCTTCACAATGCCTACAGCAATACACACGAGAGAGTTGCCAATCACGGTGCCGACGATCATGCAACTCAAGATGAGGGAAATAACCACTTGCAGCCACACCTCGTAACTGGATTCCTTGGTCAGCGTCTCTACGGTCGTCGTCGAGATGTTGTCAACACTTGACGTTGAAGTGCTGTCGTTGTAATCGACTGTGGGAGAACCCAACGTGGACGCCATATCACTCACGACCCACGTGCGGGATGGGTACATGCGCGATCCAGAAATTCCATAAGTAAAAGAATATCAAACACAGGACTTCGCAAGTATGAATCCGATGTAACAACACAAATTATCCAAGAATTTTTCACACCTTGTTATTGAGGAAACAGTCGACTCGGTGTTGAAGACCAACACCCTGGGCACGACGTGTACTGGAGTTTATAACACTTTTATCACAGCGCTTGCTTCTCGTCACAGTTTCCACTTTCTCTAATCTGTCAAAGGTGACTGTTGAATCAGTCGTCGTGGTGTTGGTGTAGAGGCTGCTGTGGCTGCGAGAGACGTCACTAACGCCAACGAGCCCCCGTCCCTCCCGACCTGTCTCCCCACAGGCTCACCACCAGTTACTACCGTGTGTTCATCGGAGTCTCCAGGAATCGATAGAACTGTAGCCTGTTCAATACTCCGACGGCTACCTCCATCCTTCTGTTCGCTCTCTCCGGTACTCCACGCAGACGGACCAGCTACCACACTTGCAGGTATCACAGCCAACAACAGAGGTACAGATTCTCCGCCTGACCAAGTCACAACTGTAGGGCCACCTGTAACGATGGTTCACCGGCCAACATACGGTCCAGACCGCATCCCACGCATTTGTCACATCCTACACTCCAAGAAGCACTCGCGTATCAAACCACTCGACTTGGAAAAAAATCACAACTTGAGCCGTGGAACGATACTATGACTTAACTTGGCGTTCATGTACCAACAGGCTTATCGGCACAAGCGATCTAACGAAGGTATTCAACTCAAAATCCGTGTTTTGTCAGTCAGTACATAGATTAGCAACACCGAGGAGTGGATGAAAAGCGGGTTATCCCAGTCTGCTAACTCTCGTTCAAGCTTATATCCCAGATTAGGGTAGGGACTACTGGTTACTCAACCTAACTTGCTTATTTTCATCCGTGTTGAGTAAGTCCTGTGTGGAAGTTCATCTCGGTGAATGACGAGCTGGCTGATTGTGTTTCTGCGCCCGTTTCAACATTAGGTGATGGTCCAGGCAGTGCTGTAACTTCACAACTTTCCCAGCCAGTATCCACTACCTGACAGCTGTAGTCGTATTCCCGACTTATTAGCACCAAATTGGCTCCTGTTATCCCGATCTCATCCGGCCACTACACCGTGTCACTGAAAAAGAAAAATCAAAGCGTTAAATCTGTTTCACAGCGCTGTGACCACTATTTATAAGGCGAGGTCTCGGACAGGCCACTAAGCTATGAATGTAAGTACAGTGTTAGCTCTCTGCGATTATACCTGTAATTGAGAAAATGTCCCGTCTTCCCTATACTAATTCACCGTGCGGCTACATTCAGACTTCTCCGCTTAGGTAGTGAAATATTCTGTTCTTTAACCTTCAAATGGGCAGGGTGATAAACACTTTTCAACAGCGTGAGCACTGATTGAGGGTGGCGGTATTGAGAGGGTTGTGACGGTGTGTCATTGAGGTATAGCAATATTACACTAGTGAACGCGGTTTCGTTACCGGGGAGGAAATGGCTTCAAAGCAAAGACTGTGACTCTCACGGCTAGCTGTATTGTTGGCCATTGGGACGCTCTTCTGTTGAACGGTCCCCCAATACACACGCGCTGAGCCCACGCCGGTATTTCGGTCTGGGGACTAACAAGTTAACGCTTGCAAGGTAGAAAAAAAACCCACACTTATTCCACAACATCGGCATTTAAAATTCATGAGGTTTTGTCGGCCAGGAGCATTCGTACCCATTTTATATAGGGTGTGTCTGGCATTACACATTCTACTAAGACTGGAATCTTGGTATGTAAACATACTCAACAGTGCCTAAATATACGAAGTGTGATATTCACACACAACATATGAACAAATATAAGACGTATATTTTAATTACACACATGGCAAAGCCAAACAGATCCCTAAAAAGGTAATTAATTCAGGAACAGACATAAAGGCATTTTAAGTGCGGTATTGATCACTGATAAATGTTAGCGGCGTGATAATGAGTGCAAGATACCTAGGAATATAGATTTCAAAACTCCACAGCCACATTCCTAAATGTGATGTGTTCTCTCTCTACTGAATAGGGAATTAAGGGACTGCAAATTGGACGTCGTGATGGTCGGTACTGAGGGGTGATGTCGCTTTCATTATTGGTAAAATGTCAAAGGCATTGTTGGATTGTGCGTAAAAAGCAATTTCTTGAGATAATGTTTTTTAACAAATCTTCCGTGTTGTGGGTCGTTGTGTACACTTCGTGCTTATATTCATACTACACCTAATCTGTTTCAACATATGTTACATTTATCAAAACACAACGATGAATGTTCTGCATGTGTCATTCCTGATATCACTAAAACATGTTAGAGAACGTATTCAGCGCTCTGTTTTGATTAATGTATATGTAGAGAGGTTTTCATTGTCATATTATATTATTATAATGTATTCAGCGCTGTGGTTTGTATTACATTTTAAAAGATATATTTTTAATTGGAAAACATTCAGCGCTGTGGTTTGTGTTTGTGTTTCAATTTAATTAAATCCAACAATTTATAAATTGAAACACAAACCACAGCGCTGAATACATTATAACACTATAATATGACAAAAAAAATTTCATTTACTCTGATCACTGGACTATTCTTAATACGTTTGTTCACAACTGCAATATCACAGCTGATCAGGGACAGGTTGGAGGGAAAGCTGTTTATCCAAGCTGCCATGATGTTTTTATTCAGTTCGGTATGACTATAGGGGAAGGGATATTTTCAACATAAACACCATGAAAGACGAGATTCTGAAATGCCAGCGAAATGAAACTTTGATTAAAAAAATTCTTCACATAATACCTAGCCCTAATGTCCTGCAAGGGAGTATTGATTTCGCTATTATGACCTCTGGAAACAATACTAGGAACCATATTTCGTAAGATTCTTGACATTATCACATTCTAAAAAAGAAAGTAAGTTTAAGGATCCTGAATAAATGAAACATGGTTAAGTAAACAAGACTATTGTGACATATTCTCAACTTAACCACTGTGAGTGAGTATTGTTTTACGCCGCTTTTAGCAATATTCCCGCAATATCACGGCGGTTAAACCACTGTGGCAAAGTGTGAAACAATATATAGTCCATGTAACCTGACACAGACTGAATGCTCACAAACATTCAGCACAGGCGTTTGACAACAAGCAAAATCTCTGTTGAACTTAAAAACGAATGCAAAATACATACATAAAGTATTGTTGGATTTAATAAACTTGAATAATTAAATTAAGTGATTTCCCAATATGGAAATAATACAGTATAAGTGGTTCATGAGAGTGCAGAAAGGGAATACTCTGTTCCTTAAATACAAATGAACCCATCTTAGTATTTATATAATGGCCAAAGTATGGTTACAAAAAGTCGGTGTGTTCCGAATGCTGACCACAGCCCTCGCCTACCTGAAGATCCATGTAATCAGCTGTACCGGTCATCGCGTGGTAGGCCTCAAGTGCCAAGGATAGAGTTTCCTGCTAATAGGCCAACTAATTGTGTGAGATTGGCTGTAATAGTGTAAATGGAGTTATTGTGTATTTCCCCACATTTTACCCATGTACCTATCAGGGAATGACCCGGGCTTGTAATCCCGACTAGGAGGCATCGCTCAATGGCCAGGCCCTGCGGTGAGCTGCGTCTTCTCAGCGCGCCATTCCTCTCAAAGATACGCCCCTACAACGCAAGATCCCCATTGTGGGCTCTGTAGCGAAAAGTACAGAAATCGATTGAAGAAGGGAGCAAGATGAATTCGTCGATATCTTTTATCCCTAGTATTAAAATTAATATATTGAAGATGGTAACCACGTGATTTCCCAGGGATCAATGCGGTAGTTTGATACCGGAAGAAGATGCTTAGATTTGAATTAGTTACGAAGGTTGATGGTAAGAGGTCATACACAGATTTCAAATAAGATGAATTCGTAATTATTAAAATGACGAGCTTAGTGGTTGTCTTGTCCTATTTCCATGTGCGTCTAGACGCCTGGAAGCCACTGCTGTGTAAGAATGCCTATATGCATCAATTATCCACACGGGACGGTCGAATGGAATTGGATTTAACATGGCCATATTGAGAGGCGAAACTCCACAAGACTAGGTTTTTCTACGCTAACAAATCCTATTGCTGGTGCATATACAAGCACTGCATCGATTTATTCTTTTGCTTCATACATAAATCGCTCTGAATATGTATCACGCAGATGGTACAATTAAATCTGGGCATGTTACACTGGAACCCGGGGTTGTCGGTGATTTCCTATTGCATTGTATTACAATCTGTCGCTCAAAGCTTTGTTGCATTGCACTTGATGGAAGTGGCTTGAACATTCAACGTCTTTGTGAAAACCGTACGCAAAATCAAACACAATGTCATACATAACCTAAACATGGAAATTAATAAATAATATCGTAAGTAAACAAGTACAGACATATTTTCCGAGGCCACTGAAGTACATTTTCTATACATTCGTTAATTACCAATTTGACAGAAATTAAAAACATTCTTGTTATCGATGATAAAGGTTATTGCACTGAAATGAAAGTCGTTAGTGCTAGACACTTGTTTCATTAATTGGTGCAATTCAACACGTCCAATTATTGTCTTATTGCTGTTTGATGAGCGAATCTGATAACACTACGCACTTTGTGGCCATAATATTGAGCACCGAAGTCCCGGGCGAGTTTAGTTAGATGGTAAATGAATTGTACTCCAGAAAGTATCAGCGTTCTCCGATTGCACGATGTTAACGCATAGCGAACTCGGTAACCTTGGGCATGGAAGCACAGCCTCCCAGGGTCAGGAAGTATCTTCCCCTCCCTCAGCTACAAACACATACAGATATATAATCCTTCCGCTGAGAAATAGTCCTGAGCGCTTTACCACACTTGCGTGGAGAACAAGGCCCTGGCTGTTGATGTGTATGAATACAAGAGTGAACGGCAGTGTAGTCGAAAATAAATCTTTTTGAAAGCATAAATAAGAGACTATACTGTTGAAGTACGATGATTAATGACAGTCTTGTCTTTCTTGCTGTCGACCTGCTCTCTCCATCTTCACGATTAACTACCTGGTGGTGTATGTACAAAGTGTATGCTATACCACACGGACAACTATGTTGTTGGGTGGTGTCGTGGTTCAAGGGTTCGCTCGGTGAACCGAAATCATTGGTTCGATTCCCCAGAAAGGTACATATTGTCAAATCCACCCTTAGTGTCCTCCGTTGTTATAAAGGCGGAACATTGCAAGAAGCGGCGTAAAGCAACATTCACACAATGGTCAGTCATGGGTTCGGTTGTTGTTGGTTGTTTGTTGTTTAACGCCACACTCAGCAATATTCCAGCTGTATGCCGGCGGTCTGTAAATAATCGGGTCTGGACCGGACAATCCAGTGATTGACATCATGAGCATCGATCCACGCAGTTGGGATACGATGACATGCATCAACCAAGTCAGCGAGTCTGACCACCTGATCCGGTTAGTCGCCTCTTACGACAAGCATAGTCACCTTTTACGGCAAGCATGGGTTGCTGATGACCTATTCTACCCCAGATCTTCATTGGTTCGGAATATACTACACGTTATGTAAAAGACGGTGGGGGAAAAACGATACATAGAAAGAAAGCGGATGTCTGTTGTGATCTTTACTCTGAAAATTCATGAGGAGTTGGAATAACAATTTGGAACAATATTCTTTTTTATCATATTACAAGAACTATGGCAAAAGAACATGCCCTAGATATTGTTTTGCATGGCTTGTCTGTTTGTTGTTTAACGCCGCACTCAGCAATATTCCATCTACATGACGGTGATCTTTGAACAATCGAGTCTGGTTCAGACAATCCAGTGACTGATATCATGAGCATCTGGGTTGCTGAGGATCAGTTCTTACCTGGACCTTCACGGGTATAGTGTAGCATGGTCCAGTTCATGGTTATGCAAACAAGGTTACAGAGACACATTGATTTTGATGCCAGGATGGAACCCGTTACGCTGTCTTATTAAACTGAGAAAACAGTTTCTCTGTAGATATAACTTACTATATGAATGAATATGGTTTTACGCCGCATTAAGCAATATTCCAGCAATATCATGGCAGGAGCATCAGAGATCAGAG